CGGGATAGATTTGCAAGGCATGATATTGTCGGGGAAAATAAAACATCGGTTCAAACTCTATTTTTTCTTCAAACTCATATCATATCTATTTATTTAAAGATTAATCAATCTCAACATTAATTAAAGAAATCTTGATCGTATGTCATTTTCGTCTGCATCTTCTGAAGAAAAAACAAACACAAAAAATAACTTTTCTCAGACTTTTGTTTTTCATTTCCCCTGCCTGGGATCCAATCATACCCTTAGATTCAGATAAAAACTTTTGGCTTTTCCCTTGCCCCCCTTGCTTGTATCATCGAGATTTGATAATATGAAAAACGTTCCAGGTTGACTTTATAATGGAGATACTCTCCCGCCTTGTAAGCAAACAGGTACAGCAGTAACTATCCATCTATATTGTATATAAATGTGTGCTTATAATAATAATCTAATTCCACTACAAGGTCTTAAAATGCCTAGTCTTTAACCAGATTTGGAAATATCCGAAGTTATGGGTAGGATTTGTTAAATGCGCCCAGCTGACGAAACCACAGTCTTTCAGTGTTCTGCTTCAGGTTTGTTGATTTTTGTACTGAAACCAATTAAACATATTCATATACAAATACTAAAATTATTAATTATTACTCTGCATTTGGTAGTAATATTTTACATCTGGTTTTGGTTCTGGATTTGAAGCTACCTGCTGGACAACTTGAAAATGCATTAAATAAAGTGGGTGCACTCAGAGGTGGGTTGGTTGCGCATGCTAGCCAACCACACATAAAATCATCGCTTCCGAGGTCGGTATTGGCGGTTCTTGGGATTGCATCTGATTCTCAAAGTTCAAGCCAGGCACAACCACCTCCCCAACCTCCATCAGATAATAATAACAACAATAGCAATACTAGTAATCTCGATGATGATAGTAATAATAATAAAGAGGCAGTAGCAGAATCATCTGTGGCAAGTTAGGTAGGAATTTGATGGCTCGTGTGCTCTGGATTCTCATTGAAAAGCATTAATACTAACTTTGTCATTCCAGAATAGACACAGAATGCCAATCTCATATGATACCATTTATATATGCTGTTATTTTTCATGCGTTTGATTAATTTTTGGTGTTGTAAGCTGTAACATTTACTCTATGCTCGGACCATCTAGTGTCAACTTTGGGTAGCCCCCTGCCGTATTCCAACTTTATTGGTTATCCGTAAGGCGTTCCAACTTCAAATTGGGTTATCCTTACCATACTATATGGCCAAATGTTTTCCAACTTCAAATTGGTTGTAATAATAATGGGTTTGATCACTTTGATGATAAAAATGATGTGTTTGTGTGTGGAACTGACCCACGTAAGTTTTATTTCCTGGTTCCTTGTCGATTACTTGCAGGTTGCAACTTTCACGAAATTGTAATATGACACGAAATTGACGAGTGCAAAAATTAAAGTGATAATAAATTAATAATACCCAAATCGAATTCTGAATTGTTTTCAAAGAAAAAGTCGGGAGTCTAATTCAGAAATTATTCCTTGTGTCTTAATTATTTAAATCTGCAGTTTAGATAATACATCTTGAACATTATACATTGGGAAAATTATTATTAAGTTATTAACCCCTGAGGTTATGCCATAATTATTAATGCAACCTTGCATTTTCAAAAATCAATTAGTTACTCCTTAAGTTTTGATCATTTTCACTATATGCCCCTCTCATGTTAATATTTGTTAAATTAAATTTAATATAATTCTTAAATTCAATGAAATTGTCTGTGAAATTAATTTTTAAAGTAAAACATAATTTATTATCATAATTACGAGTCTTTTTTTTATCGTTATTTTTTTGCTTAGCTACTCGATTGTGAAATAAATATTGATCAAAGTAGTTAAGGTAGAAAAGTCTCAATTGAGTAATATTCATGGGATACATAAAAGAAATATTATTTGAAATATGTGTTATAAAATTATATACACCTCTTCATCATCAATATAAAAGTCTTATTTGTAATTCATCTGGATGAATTAATCTCAATAACACTTCTTTCATATGTAGCAAAGAACCAAGAAAAAATGAATTTTATCAATCCATGACCTAAAAGATTGATTTAGTATTGATAAGAGACCTAAAAGACAAAAATGTATCAATATAAGACCTGAATAAATGAAACCTATCGATCTAAGAACTAAAATATACTTTGTATATCATAGATTTTGATTTGTTTAATTTTTTTTATTATTAATTCTATAACTAATTTTGATGATTTCTTCTTCAAAAAAAGTTTATTAATTTAATAAGCTTAAATGATATTTAATTTTTTAAAACAAAAAATATAAATTCATAATATTTTATATCTTACCCGTGAGTCTTTTCCCTTAACTATTTTCATTATTCCACGGTTGAGTAGCTAAGTATAAAAATAACGGTAAACAACAATGACTTATAATAATGATAATAAATTGTGATTTACTTTAAAATTTAATTTTCTAGATAGTTTTTATTGAATTTAAGAGTTATATTAAATTAAATTTAATAAATATTAACATGAGGGGGCAAACGGTGAAAATAATCAAAACTTAGGGGGTAACTAATTGATTTTTGAAAATGTAAGGTTGCATTAACAATTATGGCATAACCTCAGGGGGCTAATAATAATTTTCCCTTATACATTTCACTTCATAACATACTTTTATTTTATATCATATGGTGTGCCTTTGAATATAATTTTAACTAAAATAAAATAAACATTAAAATCAAATACTACTATTAGACAAAAATATGTGGTGTAAGAAATTCAATCTGCAGTTTAGATCAATTTCCATATTGGTGATGCTTTAGTTTATTGTTATTATTGGGTGTTTTAAGGGGTTGTCTAAAAAATTCAATGTAATCTTATTCAGATTAAAGAGTAGAAATTGCTCCAAATATGATTAAAACATACATAAAGTTTACAAAATGAGTAACTGTATTTTATTTCTAAAATATGACTTATTCGATCCGGTTAAGAGTAAAACTTCTCCTATTAGGAGTGGATGAATTTTATTTTAAGATGAAGTAATGATGATCATATTTGTGCAATTTATTTATATTTATTCTTATTTAAGAAATTTGTGGTAAAAAAAATGAAAAATCAAAAGATAGTTTTAGACTAAGTTTTACATTTCGTTATAATATATTCTGAAATCTTTTAAGTGTTACACCAATCGCTACTAGAGATGGACTGGGACGGGTTGACGGCTCTAGCCCGGCCTCTTACTGTTTAGGCTCGCCCCGGCCCGGGGTCCGGCTCGATATTTATAAGGGGCGGGCATTGGGCTTGATTTTTGGGGCCCATTCTAGACCCAAATGCACTTTTTTTTTTGAAAAAACGATTAATTAAATGGTGGTACTATACTGACCCAGGCCCAAATGCACTTTTTTTTGAAAAAAAAAATTAATTAAATGGGTGGTACTGACCCAGCCCTGACCCGATTCCGGTCCGGAGCATACCCGGGCCGGTATCGGGCTTGAGTTCCTTACTCTTGAAGCCCATCCAGTCCCGGGCGGAGGGCTTGATCCGTCCTGTCCCAGTCTATATATCCCTAATCGTTACTGCCCATTTTGTCAACATCCAAACTCCAAACTCAAACTATATCCAAATCCAAAGACGCATGAAGTGTGTGAAAAAGAAAACGAGTGTCCAGATACTCGAAATTTCAATCCTCTTTTACACATGTCGACGATATATGAAACTACGTAGTATGGTACAAAGTATGTAATAATATAAATATAAATAAATGGGCATCTCTTTCTTCTTCTTTTTTTTTGAAAGGAATGAGCTTATATTAAATTCATAAAAACAAACATCCCAACAACCACAATAAACCAACTCTCCCCTCTAGACTTCGTATAGCCAACACGCCCCCTCACTCCTCGATCAGACGCAAAATAGACCACTAAAAAATGAGCGAGACTAATCGAGAGATTTGAAACTTTTAACGACCAAACTAGCTTTATCGCTACGTAACAAATTATCAGACATGAACATAAAACAAAAAGTGAACCACCTACCCTCACTTTCAATGATAAAGGTAAAAATAGAGTACACAATAAAACTGAAACGAGAGAAATAAAAAACTGTTGTTTGTCTTCGGGAGTTCCTTTGGAATTGAAATCTACGGCGGTAGTTCAGGATGGGGGCAGATCGCCTTGACTGCTTCTTCCCCTTGCATCGGTACCTCGTCTTCATTATAGGCACATTCTAGTTCAAAGCCATCGCTGGATTCCCTTCCCTGCCCCAAGAATAGCATGCCCCCCCGCATTGCCGCTTGTTAAGTTTACCTAATATCCGTTGTCCAAAGTCTGCACATCACCATCACCATCACATTTCATCCCTTTTGGACTTTGTCTTCCTCTCTATTCGATGACGATCCTGAAGAGAATACGACTGTGGTCGTCTGCCCCTGTGTCCCTCTTATCGCCCAAGATGCTTTGTCTATCAACGAAATTCGCAGTAAAAAAACAACCTCTCACATTGGTGGGGTGAGTATAAATAGTTTTTTTTTTTATGGTATACAAACTTTAATGTAAATGGTGCATTTTATTTTAAGGAAATTACTCTAAGAATAAAATATGAGCAAAATCTAAAAGTAGAACTAAATGTATTTTGATTTATATATAAGACTTATTTAATCTTATTAAAAGAAGAAAGTAGTTAAAATTTCTCAAAATTGCAGTCAATTAATCTCATGAGTTTTGGAATTCTTCTGCCTTAAACCGCCTTTTTAGTTGGTAATATGTTTTTTGAGTTTTTTACATAAATATTACCAATATTCTTTGGAGTTACAAAAAACTGACAAACAATAACGAACACGTTCTGCAGCATGGGAGTAAGGTAGGCCATGAGGTCATATTTTTGTCAGTGGGGTTTAAAGTGGTTATATTTGTGTGATTTTTTCATGTTTTTTTGGGCAAAATGTCTTTATTTTATTTTTTTTAAAATAAAATTAAACTTCGTCAAAAGACCCAATGAAAAACAAACGGAGCTTTTGTTTATATATTGATGCCACTCGGGTCTCACGCTCAGCATTCATTGTCTTATCCCTCCTATTTGCATTATACATAATTCTGTTCTCCTGTTTTACATTTACAATGATTTAGCATTTCTTGCGTCAATTCGCATCAATTTTTTTTTATTGAAATTCCTGTATTAAATATTCTGAGTATTAGATCTCAGAATAAGCTTAAGAAATGGCCTCAATATCTTCCAGTCCTCGAACTGTAGAAGAGATCTTCAAGGATTTCAGCGCTCGTAGGGCCGGAATTGTTCGGGCCTTAACTCATGGTAACTTCATTCACGATTAAGTTTGATTTCCTGTCACGGAAATATGCTCGTTTATTGTATTTCTCACCAAGGGATTGATTGAGTGTTTTGCTCTTTCAGATGTAGACGAGTTCTACGGTCTTTGTGATCCAGGTAATTTTCAGTTAGGATCTACCATTTTTTGATATAGATCGGAATTATTTCGTCTCTGGGGTTGACTCTTCTTCTACTGTTAATCGGATCCCGGAACGTGTAGGACTATATTCCTTCTTCGTCGTAGGAAAGATGATCATAGATTTGCTCTGCTTATTTTAATGCTCAACTATTATATGCTGTTAGTTATCCAAATACGATAATTTCTTCTGAATTTGTTAGCTATTTGGTGAACGTATTAATTAATTGAAACTATTACAGAGTGTTCTCTGTTCAACGAAGCTCACTCCTTTATGCGTCTACTTCGGTTGAGCGCCCAGTTAATGTGGCAGTGTTTGAATATAATTGTAAATAAAAATAAAATTTGTAAAATATCTCTAATCCATTATCATTTGTTTTCGGTGGTTGTATGCCTGTGTTACCCATGGCCTCCTTTTTTATTTTTTGATTGTAACTCATAAGAAAAGAAAATTAAAGTTTGCAACCTTAAACATTAATGACAATTTGTTGTTTAATAAAAAGAGTTCTTGGGGTAAAGAAAATTAATTTTAACTGTAAGCCTTAAAAAAGAAGCCTCCTTTTTTATTTCCCTATATTTTTCTCGCATTCTTTCAAAACTAGATGCTTCATCTGGTTTTTCTTTATTCTTTATTCCCCCTTGTCATTTCTACATAATCCTTTTTGCTGCATATTCCTTTTGTGTAGAAAAGGAGAATTTGTGCCTATATGGCCATCCAAACGAAACTTGGGAAGTCAATCTCCCTGCCGAGGAAGTCCCCCCTGAGCTTCCAGAACCTGCCCTTGGGATAAATTTTGCAAGGGATGGTATGAATCGAAGAGATTGGCTTTCACTGGTTGCTGTGCATAGTGATTGTTGGTTGCTATCTGTAGCATTCTACTTTGGGGCACAGATACCCCGGAATGATAGGTATTTTTTTTTATATAAGAACTAGCTGAATTCTTGTAGTTCTCTTGTTGATCTATACTTAGTTTACTTGAACTTCTCTTCCTTTTCATTTGTTATAATATGCCGTATCCTACTTGAGTAAGCCGATCATTATTAAGTAATACATAGTTTTTTATGATGATTATTGCAAAGTTTATGTTCTGCCACTTTCTTGAAGATGTGAATTACTTGATCTTTTTTGTCTCAATTACAAAAGATGGGGAACTTTGGTACACCTCTAGTTTTTGTGTGACCTTCAAATGTTGTTAAATGACATATACATCTATACACATGCAGTTGTCTGTTTTAACATCTATTTGAAGTGTGTTTGGCACGTCCTTCTGATTGAGTTGGAAACCAATAGGCAATTAGATGAAGCCTAACACAGTAACATGTCTACCATGATGGTAGTGCTATTTGTAGTTTATGCCTGAATCAGTAATCTCTTAAAGGCTGTAACTAAATGACAACTTTCTGCTAAGTATGGCTAATTTTAGTGGTGGAGCCAGACATGTTGTAGTATTTGGGAGTTCAGTTCTTTAAAAATTTAAAATGTGTGTCTGGGCGCTGGGGGGGGAGCCTGGTTTTTAACATGTTCTTGTATAGAATAAAAAATATTTGTACATATATGTACACACAAAAGAGTGGGGCAGGGGGTCATTGCCACTGACTTCTTTGTGATTGAGGATTAACCTTTCCTTCCTATTTGTGAATGCCGATTGTTTTAGAAGTTGCCTTCTATGTTTCTTTTCATGTTTAATGGATAGTTTCAATAATGTTAGGTGGACAATTATTATTACATTCAGACCATACAAATTATGGCTTAGTAATGCCTAACTGGCATGTTAATTACTAGTTTGTGTCTCCAAAGAGTTCCAGTGCATTGTGGTTGGAGTTGTTATTCCTGTTATTCATTAATATATTTTTGCATAAAATGTAACATGCTTGCTGTTTGTCAGTTTTTTTTTATCTTTGATGTATTTTGTTGGAAAAAAAATAGTATGATGCAAGAGAAGCTGTAGTTTTTTGTTCTTCCTGGTTTGAGACTCACAAGAGGTTTCCATTCTGATCTGAAGTTCTTCACTTCTGCTCTTGACATAGGGTTGTGTGAAATTAGCTTTTAAAAACAAGTAATAATTCATTAGTTACTTTTTTCACGTGACTTTGTTATGCAAATTATCTTCTTGCGATCATGTTATCGGTTTAGACTTTCACAATAATGAGTAGACTCATACATGATCAGCATCCAATGCCACTGGTTCTTTTCTTATGCTCTGTTTGTGTTTGCTTAATCACTTTCATCTAGTGTGGGAAAAACATAATCCCATTTAAGACCAAATTGTTGGGTATCTGACAGGAAGCGCCTTTTTAGCTTAATGAATGATCTTCCCACGGTCTTTGAAGTTGTGGCAGAAAAAAAGCCTTCAAAAGACAAACCTAGTGCAGATAGTGGGAGCAGATCACGGGGCAGTGTAAAGGTAAGACAAATATGATTTTACTGTGATGTATGGCTCTTAGTTGTGGCCTTCAACTTGTATTTGCTAAACAGGGCCAGTTTGGAACTTGGTAGTGCAAAGGGAAGAACACGGTGTCAAACTTTTTTTTATTATATTCTATCAAATTCATTATATTTATTTAGTTCTATTTCATTAAGACTAAGATATCATAATTTCATTTTCCTTCGCTAGAGGCAAAACCAAACACAAGAAAACAACTTTCATTACCTATTTTTCTTCCTTCCCTTTCCCAAGTGCAATGAAATAGGGATGATTAAACAGTTAATCATTAGATACAGTTTCCCCCTCCTAGAGTCCTATCTGAATATAGGGTAATTTCTTGGTCATCTTTGTTGTTTTGTTCTGTTATGCAGAGAAGCAGCGATGGACTGGTGAAAAGCGCAGCCCCAAAAGTGGCTGACGAAAGTTATGAAGAAGATGAAGAGGAACATGGTGAAACATTGTGTGGCTGCTGCGCAGGAAATTACAATGCAGATGAGTTTTGGATTGGGTGTGACATATGTGAGAGGTGGTTCCACGGGAAGTGCGTAAAGATAACACCTGCCAAAGCAGAGAGCATAAAGCACTACAAGTGTCCATCTTGCAGCTTGAAGCAACGAGGCAGACCATAATAATAAACCTTAAAAAACACCCTGAAGAGGATGCCTTTGTGTTGTTTTTCATTCTGACATAAATAGCTTTAGCCATTTTTCACTACTTTGTAATGAAGAGATATGTTGTTGTGATGATTGCTTAAAAAGGAAAGGAAAATCCTGTCGTTGCTCCTCAATCCATGTCAAAAGATCAAAAGAACAGCATAATTTATAGGTTTTATCAATTTGCTGTAGATGCTTTCATCATATTCATAAAGCCTAGTTATAAATAATGTGTGCATCTGGAGTTCTTTTTCTTGATTTAATAACTTGTTTTCTGCATCATGATAAAAAAACTTATTTTCTGCATCATTTGAAAATTTTGAAGTTCTTACAGTTGTGATTTGAGCTTAGTTTAGGATAGTGGTGGACTTGGACCCGGGCTGGGTCTAGGCCCGACCGGGCCGCCGGTTAGGAAATGTTGGGCCCGAGACTGGCCCGGGTAGCCTGTTCAACTGTTCAACGGTTTTTCTTCTCCGAATTCGGGATTTGATTAGCACTCCCCCTTGCGCGTGAGAGCCTTTACCCTTGGGAATCTTAACTCCTTAAGGGGGGAGTCCCTTTATAAAGGGTAGCAAATCCTTTGGGTTTTCCGGTGTGGGAAATTAACACTAGAAACCCATCTTTTTTCCCAGTTTTTTCATTCTAACGGGTAAACTTCGAGAATCAATTTCTCATTCACTCGTTATCCGTTTTGAGCGTACCATATACCGAATTGTAGCCCTAAGTAACGACAATCCGAAACCACTTTGACCCGACCCAAATCGGAAGTGGACCCCACTCAAAAAATTGCCCCAAAATAGCCATTTAATGCAATTTTTCAATAATCGGAAGTGGACCCTACACAAAATTGTTTACACTTTACAAGTTTACAGTTTACACCATATTTATAAGTGGGTCAATTTAAACTTCTACACCATGTTTAAACCTTTTAAACAAAACGCACAACCACTCTCTTAAAACTATGAGGTTGGGACATGTGGTCTTAGAATCTTAGTTCCATTGAATAATTTATAAAGAATGATTGTGAGATTTTTGATGACCTTTTAAGTGATATTTCGTGTAACTCAGTTTGAGGATTTTAAGGATGTTTTTGTTTTGGACTGAAATTTGTTGGTCTGGTCTGGCCTGATCTGGTCTGATCTGAACTGGTCTGGTCTGGTAAATGTCTGGTCTCTGTGTATTTTATAACTACGAAAGTCAAGTCTGGTCTGATCTGGTTTGGGACTGAAAACAGTCCAAAAGAAAACATCCCAAGTACTCATTTTTTGTTAGCATCTGGATTTCGCTAATATACTACTAACCTCTCTGGATTTTCTTGTCCGGTAAGGTATGAACTGCACATGAGCCGAGCTGAACTCGAACGCAAGTATATTTGAGTTTGATCTTAATAAGAATTCAAGAGCACGAGCTTTGACGAGTTAGACAATTTGGGCTTGAACTCGAGGTGAGCTTGGCTCGAGCTCGAGCTCGATTCAAACTTAGGTCGAACTTTGCTAATTAATTTTTATAAGTTTAAACTAGGATAAGATGCTCAAATTCGAGCTAAAAAATAAAATCGCTATTTTCCAAATTATTAATATTATATATTTACATACTAAAAAAGAAATAATATAATAAATATTACAGATTATACTCCGAATTATTACTTTTATAATATACTCTGTAATAAGTATTGGAAATTGAGTAGTCCTAAATTATAATGCATATTCCATATTATATCTTACTATATATATTAAGTGCCTAAGAAAGTTAGTTGTTCCATTTCCGTTATTGTCGTCTCTGATTATTAGCCCTGTTTACAGCCTCCGTTTGGTACCTCCGTTTGCTGGACGTGATTAAAAGAAGCCTCTCGTTTTCTCCCCTCACTCGACATCTCAACATCGCCCATCTTCTATCATCATTTGCTCTCCGGAAATCTTCTCTCATCTTCCCTTCTATAACCCTTCGGCCAACAAACGAGACAATACCTCGTTGCCGTTGCAAATAAGCTCTTAGAGACAGACTCGGTGGATGAAGGGTTGCATCGTCTTGTTCTCAAAGGAACTCCGATCCTCATGGACGGCCACTCATCATCTTCTGCCAAGAATTGCTCCGGGTCTGAAACGAGCTGCCATGGTAGTTTTCTTCTCATTTGTATAATTTTCTTTCTATTTCATTTCCCTTGTTCATGCCATTTCCTTTTCCTTGTTTATTCACAATTTATATCTGTTTGCTTATTAATTGGGAGTTCTGATAACCCTAGCACCAACAGGTACGACTTTGAAGAGTTGAAATTCTGTCCATTTTTTCCTGATTGTGGCTTACTAAAGCTCTCTATGAGACACCCATGCTTGTAGCAGTACCAATTTGTCATCCCAGTACATAAATTAAGACTGAGTGTGGATGTTTTAGAAGTGAATACATCACCTACCTGAGGTAGCATTTCTTCTTTTATTTTGTTTTTCATTCGATTATCTATCTTTCTGTTAAATTCATTGTTGCTTCATTTAAATAATATGAAGAGTAAAAGAAAGGCAGAAATGGCTTACTAAGAAAGGCTTCAATTATCTAGAGAAGGCGTAATGGTGATGAATTAAACGAATAATCCTATATCATTGCCCAAGGTAAAATATGTATAAGAAAACTACTCCCCTAGCAGTTCTTTACCTTTTCATAGCATTTCCTCGGATCCAATTGTGCCTCTAATATTTATAATTTAATTGCATGGGGGGTTACACCATTATTCCCGAATCTATCAGGTGCAGGTTTGATAAAAAAAGAAGGGCTTCAAAGGGTCTTTTGCAGAGGCAGGGTCATCTGCAAAGGTATTTGAACCCTCATTTTTGTTAGCAAATAATTTTACTAATAAAATATCACTACATACATGTGAATTTATTAGACTGTGGCTGTATATTGAGTATCACATTTACAATACCCCTTCCACTTTAGACATTTGCAGTACTGTCTGGAGTACACAGTGTTGTGGTTTGCTTTCTGAAGAGGCTTAGGGGAAAAGATGATGGTAGGTTCCATCAATTTGAAAAAGCATTTACTCTCTCAAATGACTTTCTTTAACATATCGAAATGCTTTTTCTCTCCTTGCAGTAATTAATGATGGTGTAGCTGGATGTTGTACTGGTCTTGCTCTGAGTTTTCCAGGTACTTCCTCTCTCACAGGTTTTCTCTCATGAACTATGCTACAAGCACACATTTGGGAAAGGTTAGGAGATCATATTTGGTTTGAAGTGTTTTTGCCATTTCTTGCTGTGGACATTTTGCATCATTGTTTCATTTTTCTCATTTTTGTTTAAAGTTTCTTGATTAATAGACACATGAAAATCATTTTCAACCCTCCGGAACAGTCTCTTGTTATAAAGATCCTGAATGGATATTTAATATGGGTGGGAGTTGATGGAGAAAATATAGGCCTTTGGGTCATGGACCAAAGGTTTGCCTTTGAAATGGATAGACTGGATGCTGAAGGTTGGGCGAGTCTTCTTGTTGGACTGGTAGCCGACTATGGCCTCAACTGAACATATTCCCCTATCGTCCGGTCAGAAGACATGGAAGCGGAGTGTAGTCTTTGTGGATTGCCGAGAAGGCCCAGCCAGCTCCGAACCGCTTCCCACGGATTGCAGAGAAGGTTTTCCAAAATTGCCAATAGTTTTATGTAGTGTATTTTCAATTTGAACCACTTTGATTTTTTCAGCCTTGTTTGCTTCAATTTTTTCAGCCTTGTTTGCTTCGATCTTTTCAGTCTTGTTGGTTCTAGACAAAGATCGAAGTGAAGAAACGGAGGAAGTAAGACAATGTAGTCCAAGTTTAGTGTAATTCCTCTATTTTATCATCAATCTTGGCCGGTAGAATGCTTCTCAGTCATCCAAAAATTGATCCCAAAAAAGCAATCTATCCATCTATTCTTTATTCTTCTACGGCAATAGAAGCTACAGAGGGAGATTTAGACAATCAATTTTGCTCTCTACAATAGTTAGTGGAGGATAGGTGAGTGACTCTCTTTCGTGTTTTTTTGGAACTTGTCAATAGAGTTATACGGAGTAATATCAATTTAAAACTTGATTTATTATTTACATACGATTTTTCTGAAAAGCAGGCCCGACCCTGAGCAAGGGCAACCCGGGCTTGTGCCCCGGGCCCAATATTGATAGGGGCCCATAATTCTATATATATAGTAAAATATATATTCATGTAAACGGCAGCAACTCACGCTTCAATATTAATTTGGTCTTGGAATTACATGACGTTTTGATTCCAATTACAGTTATTAAATTAAATGCTATCAAATATCAATGCTTTTCATTAAATGATTTGTTATTTTAGTGTGACCATGGTGTTAGTCTTTCTACTCTCCTTTTTGTGATTAACCCTACACGACACACATACTTACTGTATATATTAATAATTTTAATGGACACATACGTACTTCATATATTATACTCATAAATATTCAGATACTAATAACCTTCAAGGAAGATGTCCAGTCCTCTACCACATAACCACGTAAACATCCTAACATATGGGTCTTATATTTTATTTCACAATTTTTATGTTCAGAATTTATAATATTCATATTTATTTTAAGGGCCCACTTTTATTCATTGCCCCGGGCCCATAAAATGCGAGGACCGGTCCTGCTGAAAAGTATTGTGATATTTATTATTTGTTGCATAACTACAATGTGATAGCTTAAAGATTTTAAGAAACAATCACTTGCTATTATGATGCCCTTGTTCTTAATAAAACCCTTATTGCTATTTAAGAAATGAATTGTACACTCTCTTTTATGGCTAAACTAAATATCCAACCTTTAGTTATAATCAAACTGAAAAATACACTTTTTATTATTATGAATGTTGTTATCCTATTATAACAGTTTAATGTGTTTTTCAGTTGAAATTCAGTTTTATGAGTTGGCTTAAGCTTTGTCTGTTCGTGCTTGGCTTAATTTACTTTTCTGTTCTTACTTGGCTTAATTTAATGTTTCAATGGCCGAGTAAAGGATATAAAAAAACATTCTCGTGATGACTATATGACCATTAATACCGACACAAGTAATCTTTTACCCTTTGTACTTATGTCAGTTTGCCCATTGTATTTATGTTCTTTGTACTTAACATCTTATATGGCAACTCATGAATGAGTGAGGATACACTCTTACTTAGCATGGAGTACTATGTATCTATATTGAGTGAAAGACAGAAAGAACTAAATTATAACTATTAAAGTGTTATTGTATTGAGGTTTCAAATTCTGATTCTTGGACTAATGTGGTATAAATAA